ATGCTTGTTATCAATTTTCACTCTTTTGTATTTTTCTTCCATTCAATGTTTCTGCACGTATCTGAAAAGTGAGCATTTTTACTTTTACACTCGGCTGCAAATTCCTGTCCGTTTTATTCAGTCCAATGGACGCACTGTCTGCCGTCGACATTTTTCTCTTGCTAATTTTCATGCCAACAAAATTCGACTCATCCCAAAGATTACCTTACGCTCTGAGAAAATTGCTCAGTAATACGAATAAACTTTGCAGTGTGGGACATGTTTGTTCCGTTCAAGAGAAAGGGTGTGGCTCATTTGCGTCAAACTGGTGTGAATGGATTGCAGAACGTGGATTGGCCCTAGTAAATAGAGAAAATCTGCTAATAGCCACACGAGATAGAACGTTGTGGAGAGCCGTAATCATCTATGTCCTGAAAGGGATGCGGCAACAGTAGACAATTAAAGTGTGTAATACGTCTATCAGCCGGCGCATTCGAGAACTCTCTCTCTCTCTCTCCCTCTCTCACTCTCCCTCTTTCTATATTCCTCTCTATCTCTTTCTCTCCCTATCTTTTTCTCTCTCTCCCTCCCTCTCTATATCCCCACTCTCTCTCTCACACACACTCTCCATCTTTCTATATTCCTCTCTATCTTTTTCTCTCCCTATCTTTTCTCTCTCTCCCTCCCTCTCTATATCCCCACTCTCTCTCTCCCTCTTTCTATATACCTCTCTATCTCTTTCTCTCCCTATATTTTCTCTCTCTCCCTCCCTCTCTATATCCCCACTCTCTCTCTCCCTCTTTCTATATTCCTCTCTATCTCTTTCTCTCCCTATCTTTTTCTCTCTCTCCCTCCCTCTCTATATCCCCCTCTCTCCTCTCTCTCTCTCTCTCTCTCTCTCCGTGTCTTTGGGTTTTTTTTAATAAACAGTTGCTTTTATGAGATTGTTCAAATCTCGTAAGGCATTCCTTTTTTTTACTCCACAATTCTAGGCTTTTGTCAGATTTAATTTAAATAAATACCAAAATTGCCCATTAAGTCTCTGGCGGCATCCTTACCCACTTAAAACTGAGTCTAACGTACATTATTTACATTATTCGGACTATTGTCCTCATCTTTGTCGCCATATTTATCACAACGTTTCGGCCGTTGTACGCTCCGGCCTTCTTCAGGTGGTTGGAATTTCAAACTGAACCCTTTATTTCGCTCACTGGGGTAGACTGTTCTAGTTCTACGTGACATGTTTGATGGGTGTCAGTTATCAGTTATCTCCTGTTAATTTCCCTCTGAAAGTTCTCCACTGCCTTAACTATGCCTTAAACATGGCGACAAAGATGAGGACAATAGTCCGAATAATGTAAATAATGTACATAATACCTCATCTCAGAAATATAGACAGACTCTGAGACTAACGTATTTTATCTAAATTAAACCGCCCCCACACCCAAATTGTTCAATATTTTTGCTGTATGTGATTCACGTCAGAAAATGCAAAATATCTCAATCGTCGAGTCGATCTATGGTGACTTCAATACATACTTGGGTCACCTTAACAAATACCAATGAAAGGTTTCTACTAGGTGTCTCCTCAGAATGTCAAAAAAGCCTAGGACCCATAGAAGTTGTGTTTAAAGCCACCAAATGGAGAATCGGGCCTCAAAGGATGTCGGTGAGTGCACCAACATAAAACAGAAAGTGAACTCAAATAAACTTAGGATATACATCCACAAGTGAAGCGGACAAAAGGATGTTATATAAACGTCCGACCTCGGAGGAGAAATGCAGAGTCCCTCACATCACCGTGAGAAGAAAAAGAAATCTCCCAAACCACATATCCTCGATTAAGCCGACATTAATTTGATGGAGTTTTTGAGTTATCAGATGTTGCTAACAATTTTATGATATATTTCAGAGGCTTACAGCCATCTCATGTTGAAACACCTGTATCTGTGCGATCGCCGAAGTTAAGCAATGGTGAGCCTGGTCAGTGAATAGATGGGTGACTGTTTGGGAATACCAGGTGATGTAAGTTTAGATGTGCGGTGGTGTAATGGATAATGGCTCGGAATTGGAAATTGGAGAGATGAGTTTCAAGCCCAGTCGTGTTCGTTATATACACTTAAACGCAAATACTCTTGCAAAAGGTATGAATCCACCTCTCCCCCAGCTATGGGTTAATTAGTATAATGTGTATCAGTAAACCATTATTATCTGAAAAAAACACAATCTAAAAATCTGGCTTTAAATAGTCTACAAAAAGTTGATACACCGTCAAAAAGAAATCAATCAACAATATATTTCAGGTGTTTATGTAAAGTTTGGTTATCTGGTAAGCTAATGTTTGCCCAGATGCCGTAGACTACAATTTCTTGTATTCGCCTAACTTCATAATGACGTAACAATAAATACAAATATGGGCGGGGTATATGTCATCAAATACAGTAATTAAATTCTTCTTCCTTCCTGTTTTTATAACAAGAGCTGTATTAAAATAAACCTAGTCTGGCCAATCGGAAATTAGCTTACAAGAAAAGGCGCAATTTTCAACCAATCACTGTTCGCTACATAGATCAGGTTCTGGAATTATATAAATCAGCATAAATCATTGAATTTCAGCCATTTTTAAATCAGGGTACAGTCGTAAAATAACTTAAACTCTGGAGCGCACTTTAAATTTTAATAAGGAAAATTAGTCATAAGATTTGAAAGTATTAAATTTTGGTTTAGCATTCCCAAAGAAGATTGGGAGCAAAATTTCCCTTTAAAGGGGTCCATGAAAAAATCTACTTCTTTATTTTTTTTTTTTAGGGGCCGATAATGACTCATTTAAATCCCTTGAGAAAAGCAAATGGGAAAGATTAAAGCAATTTAGCATCCATTTTAAAATATCAAATGACAAAGTCTTAACTTAGACATGGAAGCCATGTGCTTTGTTTCTCTAGCTTTTTTTAAAAATAAAGATTTAAAATATAAAAACAATTCATGAATTACTCTTGTGTTAACTTGAGGCGCATCTGGCTACCTTTCAGTACGGATTAGTACGCCCGGGTGCACCGGTTGAGAAACTCTGCCGTAAATAGTAACTCGGTTAAAAATGAACGCAACGAAAACATTTTCCTTTAGAAGATGTTATGTTTACCCTGCCAACTTCGACTCAACATATCTCCTGATCTAGGGCGCCTCTGCGTGGGTTAATGGTTAGCTAGAACGTCTAGTTGACTATTACTACTACTGAGCAGTAAGTCTGATCCTCACTGGCCGCCTTGTTCTTGTAGTCTTGTACTTAACAGAATAACAACACAAGATCTGTCACGATTTGGATTTAATATTTCTTCTTCTGCTTCTCCTATGTAGCGTGTCCCTCGAGGACGTTGACGATCATGGCTCTTCACAATTTCCTCACAGATGAATAAGAGACTTGAAGCAACCGATATATGTTCTACAGAAGGATGCTGAGAATATCATGTGAGCAACGACAAAGGTTTAGAAGAGGTGAACACAAAAAGGACGCTTACGTGTAGCATCAGAAAGAGATAACTGAAATGTATGTTGTACATAATAAGGAAAGAGGGCTTAGAAAATGTAATACTCACAGTGCAGATTGAAGGTGAAAGGGCCAGAGGAAAGCAAAGTGCAATCTACCTGGAGGGCTTGAGCGAATGGATGGAGGGGCAGGGTTTGGGAGCGATAAGAAAAAGACAAAATTTATTGAGAGCTAGAAAGGAAGGAAACTGTGGCGAGCCATGATCGTCAGCGACCTCAAGGGACACGACACATAGAAGGAAGGGATTTTTCAGCAATATGGGAGGCAAGCGCGGGGGCAGAGAATTGCAGCGCATAATTGACGTAAAGAGCTTGATTAAATGCTTGGCAGAACAGGGATTAAGAAAAGACAGAATAAAAGACAAAAGTTCCTAAGAGATATAAAGACAGGAATCTTTGAAGAATCATGACCTCCACGTCCTGCAAGGACACAGCACATAAAATAAGCAAAAAATGAAAAACCGTATATTTTACAAAAATATAAAACGACACAGAGAAAGGCCTTGTGGAGGAGAACAGGTTTTTTCTTAATTTTGAAGGATGAAGCAGTCAAGGCGATTTGGGATTCGCATCGAAGTACTTATGGACAACTGCAGTCGGTGAATGCCTAAACGGACTGGGCTAAACGACGTGAAGACATTTCTGAACCCAACCTCTGAGGTTAGGCCCAGTTTTTATTCAAGCATGTTGCATGTTAATCGCGTTTACGGCTTACAGCCATATCACGTTGAATCGCCGAAGTTAAGCAAGGTCGACCCTGGTCAGTACCTGGATGGATGACCGCTTGGAAACACTAGGTGTTGTAAACTTCCATGGATTTTTAAACGGAGAGACAAATTCCAATTCTATTTGGGTTCGTTATTTTCGCTTACGGACAAATACCCTTGGGAGAGGTATGAATCCACCTCTTCTCTCCCCAGCTATGGGTTAATTTGTGAGATTTTTATAACTAAATCATTATTATCTTCAAAAAAGTTCTTACAATATAAAAATATTTTCTGGCTTTAAATAACGTGCAATGGGTTGATAAACCGTAAAAAACGAATCAATCAATACTCACATTTTTTGTGATGCATGTGCTTGGTATACCCTTATCACACTGAGTGTTATGATGGGTATAATGGGCTTCGTATATTTGTGCACAAGCGTTACTTTGTTGACGTGCTGCTCTGTCAGTCAATAATAATAATAATAATAATAAGAAGAAGAAGAAGAAGAAGAAGAAGAAGAAGAGGCGTGTTATCATTGAAATCATTGGACAAACAAATCATGTTTTTAATGGTAAAAATACGTATCATAAATAAAAAGATGTTTTTCAAAGCTGGAAAAATAATGAATAAATATGTTGACATACAGTGTGCTTTTAAAAGGACATTTGATATGTTTGGAATATCTCATAATTGATATGTGTTGTATGTAGGCTGAAGGCAAGCAGAACTAGTCGTTGTCTTAACACCAAGTATTTGCTAAGTTATGATTGTTTAAAGTCAATCAAAACTCGCACAAGTTTAACCATTCAGAATTGATCACCAAAAAGATGACCAATTGTGGATAGTTGCTTCTCCTGCCTCTTTCTGTTAGAAAAGTCATTGAAATCCGGTTGGAATGAATAAGTGACCAGGTTTAACTTGACACGCTTTCTCAAAAATTCTATATATCAAGGAGATTTTGGAATCCTTCAACACAAATATCCAGTCAAGTTAACAGTTTGGGGGGATCTTATTCTGTTTGTATTTTTGATTCCGACCCCTAAATTTGAATAAAGCTAACAAAAAGGCTCAGGACAAAATTGTTCTTTTTAGTGTAAGCACCCAAAAATTAAAACCGTATGAAACTTTAAAAAGTAAGAAAATTATTCTCACGAAGATATTTAAGATATATTCAGCTCTTTTCATACGTTAAATTGATCATTACACACTTTGTTCTTCCTAAGTACAAATAACATTGATACAGTTCTAGAAGCAAGCTGAAAGTAATTCCAGTTAGAGGTGGGGGTCTGGCTAAAAAACTACACATGTCAACATGGCACTATTTTCAAGCTTACTGTGTAATAATATTAACAGATGTTATATGCCTTAAACTGCTGTACGACATAAAAGAAAACTCTACCGATTTTCAAAGGAGTCATATGATGCTTTCAGACAATATTTATACATAAAGTGCGGTTTGAAGCCTGGATCAGACATTTTGATTCTATCAGAAACATATTTTTTTAAATAATTTAAAGAATATTTTTAATATCAAGCATTTTTACAAATTTAATATTCCTTAATTATTCAATTTTATACTGAACTATTTTTCTTACTTTTTTTACCTAACGACGATTTTCTTTTCACAATCAAACTGCAATTCTAATTAATAAAAGCTATCATATTTGGAG